CTTCTTTAATTCTTTCTGCTACCACTGCTCGTGAACGAAGCCCTGAGCCAAGTGCGCTTCTCTACCTAAACAGGATGATATTGATTATCTCTTGGAGGAAATGATCAGCAAGGACATCCCTTGAAATGGCTTAGCCTTAAACCCTGAGCCATTAATCATTTTATGGAAGTCTGCGAAGCCACTAGATCTGCCTACAATGGTGCAACTAAAAGCCTGGGAAAATGCATACATTTATGTATGATTTTAATGCAAAATTTAAAGGGCCAAACTGGGCATCCCATTAACCAAATCCATCAATTACCCCCAGATAAATTTATAACTCTTCCTGCCATTCTGTCATTTCTCCCCTTTCCCCTCCCTCCTCTCCGAGTCAGTGTTTCCTTTCTCATCAATTCTTTCCTTCCCCGGTGCGTTAGGGCTTGTGTACGCTACCGGCCGGATTGATGGGCAGCGATCAATCCAGCAGGGGTTGATCAATCGACTGCAGATCGCTCTAGCGTCGACTCTGGTACTCCACCTCAATGAGAAGCGCAAGGGGAATCGATGGGAGAACGTCTCCTGTTGACACACCGCGGTAAGTAGATCTAAGTACGTCGACTTCAGCTACGTTATTCACGTAGTTGAAGTTGCAAAACTTAGATCGTCCCCCCCCCCCCCCGTAATGTAGACTAGCCCTTAGTTTCCCAAATTCCCCCTAAGTCTCCCTTTCCTCTCCTTCAGCCCTTCATTTCTCCCTCTATCCCCTCCCCCATACATCTATGCTTCCAGTTCTCCTCCTGCTTTCCCAATAACCTCTCACACAGACTGGGCTGTGCTCCCTGCTCAGAAGTTGTGGTATAAGTGATAAAGTGACTCTCTCACCCTACTCCCCTCTCTCCTTCCCCTCCTGGCTTAGTTATCAGTGTTCCCTGCCCTGGACTCCTCCCTGACCCCCTCTGTGAGAGATCTCATGGTGGGGGGTGCAAGCTGAGTACAAGGATTAGCTGCCTGTTGGCCAAACATAGCAGCTGGCCAAAAAATGTGGATGCAGCAGAGACAACCAGGGAATCAAAAGGACTATTGCAAAGTTTGAGCGCCTAGCTAAAAATTGGCAGTTGAACCAGTCAGTGTTTCACCTAGGTAGGTTTTACAAGGAAACCTGGGACATCCTTGCTTAAGGGGACCCCATGGCTTCTGCTCATGAAGCTGGGGGCTGAGGCAGAATGCAGACTTGGTTGGCTGCCTATTCGAAGCAGCCATAATCCGATGGAGTGCTCTCTGAGCACAGTTGCCTCCTTATAAAAACTGTGTTAAATTGTTAAATGTTCCCCTCCTCCCCTTTTTAAATAATGGATGTTTATCAGGCATGTGAAACTACCTCTAAAGGGTAATTTCTGAGTAACTCAGAAATAAATTAAAATTTGCGGTTTAGAATTAAAGCACCATCTTCAAACTGAACTATAGTGCAATTATACATTCCATGTTAATAGTAAGAGAATTTTTTCACTTCAAGGTCCCAGAAACAAAGACAAGGTTTTCATCTCGAGGCCAAAAGACCAAAAACATCAAGACACTTGATCACGGCCTTGGATAGACCAAGAGACTACCTACTACTACTTAACCTACCTGCATACTGCCAAGGATATCTCAGTTTGTGATAAGGATCATCTGGCTGGAGTAGTGTCCTGCAGACAATATGAGAACTCTCTTCTTGATTATGCTAAAGGAAAATTGACACTTTTCCCCCCCCACCTCACAAAAATATGAAGGCATAGTTAAGATGATGCCCTCAATCATTCTGTTGTTGCAGGACGTACAAAAAAGTCTAGTTATACATTCAGGGCAACTATCTGAGCCATAACAATAGCAATTCTTATTTGAAGAAAGGAATACCTGTTTCCATGTATTCTTCCTATTTCTGCTTCAGACTCCTCTTAATGCAGTCTCTTAATTATTCCCACAAAGTTAGCACATAGTCTTCACCTATTCAGGCCAAAATGTGTTGATTATTAGAAGTTTCAGGTAAACAATTTAAAAAATAAATGAAAATCCGTTAAAAGCCTTTGTACAGATCAGGTGGAATCAGTAAATATTTAATAATTTTTACTAATCTAGCAATCCAATAGCCTAACTGGAGAGGGAGGTGGGAAAAAAAGTGTCAAATGGAATGTGGGTTAGAAAAAATTTCTAACCCGTTTTTTGAAGGCATTGCAGGATTTTTCAAGGTCATCATTTGACACTTCTCTCCCCTTTAATTTCGCTAACCTTCTTAGAATCTAAAGCAGCTGCTGAGATAAGCAGGACCCTGAAAACAATAAGAGAGATAAGTGGCGCATAGTTTGCAACAGCTAGGATTTTCCAGTTTAAATGTTGGCTAGAGTAAAAGAAAAGCAAATTAAATAGCAATTATGTATTTAACAAGAGATAATCCAATATACTGAGGCTCACAATAATATCTATCATAATTCTTACAAAAGCTCTCCATCTATACAGTAGTTGAGCCCCATTGTGCCAACAAACAGTTGAGCTCTTACATTAATATTCTCTCACTGAACCCTACACCTGGAACTAAATAGCTTTTAACTGAAAAGAGAGTCAAATTCTGACCTCAGTTACACTCACTCCACCTCCGTTAAAACTAGTGGACCAAATTCAATGCTGCTTAACCTGCTGAATAACTCTGCTCCTGAACTGAAACTCTTATTAAAAAAATTAAGTCTCTATCCCTCATTGTTACAGAAAAAAAATGTTCAGAACATGAACCAAGCAGAAACTGATAGATCAAAGTAGAAACTGAATCTGCAGACTGTCTGAAACAATGCTCCGAGAGGTCTGAACTGCTCTATTCGTCTCAATGGATTGTTAATACTAAAGTCTGATGACAATTTAAAGGCAATAGTAAATGTTTTACTGCTGATCATTTTAGCCAAAACATTAAGCTCATCTGATTACCCACTGTTTCTGGATGTAATGGCAGATCTTGAGGTGGGGTGTGCAGTGGGGCAACCAATTGCTGGGGTGGAGAATAACTAATTCAAATCCCATTATCATCCATACCTCAAGTTTTCTGCCATCTCTGTCCCTTCCATAAGAACAGCCACATTGAGTCAGACCCATGGTGCATCTAGCCCAGTATCCTGTCTTCTGACAGTGGCCAGTGCCAGGTGCTTCAGAGGAAATCAACAGAACAGGCAACTGAGTGATCCATCCCTGTCATCTACTCCCAGTTTCTGGCAAACAGAGGCTAGGGACAACATCCCTGGCCATCCTGGCTAATAGCCACTGATGGACCCATCCTCCATGAACTTATCTAGTTCTTTTTTGAATTCTGTTATAGTTTTGGCCTTCGCAACATTCCCTGGCAAATAGTTCCACAGGTTGACTGCGCGTTGTGTGAAGTAGTACTTCCTTTTGTTTGTTTTAAATCTGCTGCCTATTAATTTCATTGGGTGACCCCTAATTCTCGTGTTATGAGGAGTAAATAACACTTCCTTATTTACTTTTTCCATACCAGTCATGAATGTATAGACCTCTATCAATTCCCCCCCACCCCCAGTCATCTCTTTTCCAAGCTGAAAAGAAAGGAGGGAGGGAAAGCGGAAATGTATTTCCTGCTTGGTACCTAACCCTCCAATGTCTCCTGGGTACCAAAACACCAAATTACCTCATCTTTCTGGGCACCAAAAGACTTAATGGACCCTTACTCAGCTATGAAGGCCTTCTGTGCTCCTTAGTCAACTTCTACAACTCAGTTACTGCTCATCCATACAAGATTCACAGCACATTGAATCTGAGGCAATCAAAACGAAATTGAATCCAATATTAAAGTAAATAAATGGTAGGGTCATACAAGGCCTGGAGCTACACACTGAATGATTAGGATAAAAATAAATATTGAATGACTACTCATTCAGTGAGCACTATACACCATGTGCACTGACTAAGGCAGGAGTCCTGTGGGAAAAATAGTATGTAACTATGTAAATTAAAGATGGTCTCATAGTGCATACATACAAGGGGGAGGTGAATTAAGGTTGCACAGGCAACCGCAAATGACACATCCTAACTTTTGAGTGCTTGACTTTGCAGCCTTAACATTCTTTTAATTTTTTTTTTTTTTTTTTTTTTGGTAAATTATATATAAATAATACAAAGAATAATGTACTAACTGGGCTGGACTGGTAATGTGTGGGGAGGTACGTGGTGCCACATATTTTTGGGGTCTCCCAGACTGTATAAAACAAAGGGCCAAGACCTTTTGACTTCAGACTCAGAATGACTACACTAATATTTATGGATTCCTCTGCCTATAAAAAGAGGACTAAACTACATTAGAACACATAAGGGACTATAACAAATGAACGGATAGTTATGCAAGGAGCTCAGATACAATGAATGTTATAAAAGCCTAGACCAGTTCAAATCTTTAAATGGAAGAATTAATTATGCAGAAGAGTTTACTAACTCACCCTTGGCGAATTTTTTTTTCCTTCAAGTTTTGAGCTACACAGTAAACCCTCCCCCCGCAACCCACCTAAGATTGTTTTGATCTATTCCCTTAGTAAAGCAGTGAAATTCTACTGTGTGAAATGTCATGCCTAACAAAACACTATGGAACTTATATTTTGGTGGGTTTTAAATTAGACCATTTTCTATGGGTAAGTGAAAATTTTATAAAACAAGAAACTTCTCTATTATCCCTCTAAGCATTTTTTTTCTCAGTGGAGCGGAGAGAGAAATAAAATGCCCTAAGATTCAAGTGCTACATGTTTAAAGTCTCACTGTAGCACTATCTTTTTTCCAGATTCAGCATGTTGAAGATTAGGTGCTTCAGAACACTAAGCAAAACCAATAGGGGCTATATCTGCTTCCGATGACATCAACAGCAAACCTTCCCTGATTTCAATAGTGCAAGACTAGGGCCAAAACAAACAAGCACCTTAAATGCAATAGTTAATAAAAATGTACAAGGCGTTACCAAAATATTTACTTCTTGAAATAAAAAAGATAGGTGTGAGATGTCTGTCTAGAATATATCCATTTATTATTTTGTGGTCCATATCAATTTAAAGACATAATTAATTGAATTTCTACATCATTTTCTCAATTTCAACCCTTCCTGGCCTCATACCAGCTAGTCTGGTACACACCTTTCCCCTGTACAGTCAATATTTATGAAAAGCAGTATACCGATCTATTAGCTTAGAAAAATAACATGTCGGGGAAATTATAGCCATGAAACGGATACAAAAGTTAGGCAACAGAGTAAAACACCCTTTAGTAAATTATGGCTTTGAACAAGTATCAGATATCAATATGAACAATTTAAGACACTTCTTGTTAAAGGCACTTATAGTTCTTTTTTGAATTTAGTTCTCTTGCATTAAAAAGTGTTATGTCTTTGATCACATTTTCATAACAGCGGAACAGTCTAAAAAAGCAGTTTTAAGTAAGAGAAAAAAGTTTAAAGTTTTTTAACGAACGTTAAACTATGAAAATACCAAGAATTAATACAAGCTTTCAAATGGGTATTGGTCCTTATAAAACAGGCAACAACATTCAGGCAAAAGTGATTTCTTTTCTTAGATACTCAAAACAAATAGTCTCAAAAAGTAAGTCCTCCAGTTCCAGTGTGTGGATATGTCCAAGTTCACGTAGACCACCCTATGACCTCCAACAAAAATATAACTTTATAAACTAACCAGAACTCCATTTTGGCTGTTGAAGGAAAAGAGTCTCAAAAGAGCATTATGGATGCATATGCTAGTGAGTCTATAATTCTGTGTCCCTATATCTGGATGGCTGTCCGTAATATCCGCGCTTGGAGTTGTCTGATAGCTGCCGACGGTAGTCTTCCTCCTCTGCGTCACTGCCATAACTTCCTCGATTTTCTAGGTAAGGCCTGGCAGGGGGTTTCTGAGGCTCTGGAGGTCTGGAACTAGCACAGCAAAAAACAAGAGTAAAGATGTCAGCAATTTCTGGTCTGAAAAGTGGAAGAACACAAACCTGTAAACAACTGCAAACAATTCACTAAGATATGAGGACATGCCAATTATATGCTAGCAAGGCTAACCATGACCCTGTCCTTCAGCACTCTGCACACCACTACTCCCTTCTCCCCTCCGCCACCGCTCTCTCTGTTACTCCACTCCGTTACTTTCCATACTGACTACTTGGTGTCCTTCCTCTCTTGCCTTCACGCTGGTTCATATCTTCGAACAGCCTTCTACTCCTTGCCTGAAGGCTTCCTATATTGATCTCACCACTGAAGAGGTATCTACTCCTCCACAGACCTCATGAACATTTCTAAAAGTTAGATGGTAAGCCCTTTTATACAGGGGACTAGTGTTAAGTGGTTTGAAAAAAGCTGTATAGGTTATAAAGCTAATTATTTATATAGAATATAAACAGCGCTGCACAGCACATGTAATAATTCTCTACATAGGAAAGGAGGGGGATTTCACTGATTTTCAGCAGCTATCATTCTAGACTCCATACTGAGCACTGGCAAGAGGAAGCATTTCCCCCCCTCCCCCCACATTCTTTTAAGATCCTGAATGACTTAGAATAAAGCAACGATGCTGTTTAATAGTGTTGATTTAGCCAATTTAATTACACTTCCTACGAACACTCATTCTAAATTGTCAGTTGCTTGTTTCTTTTATCTTCATATTTGGTTAAACTAAATATTTTACTCCTCCCTAAAAACCCCACTACAGATGCCATAAGCTTACAATTCCTATAGCTTTGCAATAATAAATTCATCAGGGAAATGCTGCAGTGACTGTTTTGGGGCCTTCCCAATTTGATTATACTTTAATCCACCAAAGGAGCTGACTGTAAAAAAAATAAAAAAAGAAAAGAAAAACCTCACAACTCATTAGGCCTTCCCTGTCCCCAAAGGAGTTACAAATGAGAAGGGTGAGAGAACTAGAACATTTCCAAATGAAAATCAAAACAGATCCTTCAAATTGTTTGTTGCAAGGTTTTGCTTAGGCCACTGTCCAAGTCATACTAGTGAATAAGCATAGTAGAGTGGGTAAGGCACCAAGACTGGATATCTGGGAACTAATCCATAACTCACCAGACTCAATGGAAACACACTCATTAACATCAGTGAACTTTGGATCAGGCCCATGGTGGTTCTCCTGACTCCGTAGTGACTCACTGTCTCCCATTGGGCAAGTAACTTAACACCATTTTCCTCACCCATAAAATGCATATAATAATGGACTGTGTAAAATCAGACTTTACCACCCTTACTGATGTTGAGTACGACCTTATACCCCAAGTAGTCCCACTGTAAGCTGTGAAACTTGTCAAATCACTTTCAAATATTGATTAGTATAACACAACAACAATCCAATCTCGGACACATAAGGGAACGCCTTGAAGGGTTGAAGTACAAGTGATCTTGTGTGTACATCTAATTATGAGACACAAAATGAACTGGCACCACGAATCTCTTAGTAATATACAATATCTGTGAAATTCTCTCTGAGTAATTCAAGTGCAGTAGTATGGACCAGTCTGAAAAAGAGAGATAAAGAAAAGATTCTGAAAGGAAGGCCTTGCAGAAGCGACTACTGTCAAGGCAGGTCAGCCCTACAGCTTCTCATCTTTGACACCGTGTAAATTTCAGGAATCATTGGTAGTGTCAGGGCACTACTTGCATGAGTAAGAGCTGCATAATTAAGTTGCTCTTGCTGGTGTAGTAAATATAAACCAGAGGAGTATTTTCAAGTGGATCTGTCTTACCTCATGGGTTGGGGCCAGTTCTGGTCTGGCTTCTGTGTTTTGATTGGGACAGCATAGATATCTGGGTGTTTCTGGGCTATTTCCAGCTTTAAAAAGAGCAGAAGAAAAAAAAATATGCCTTTCAGTTTATACAGTCAGGAGATCTGAGACTGAGCAATGTAGCTCAGTTTCTCTGTAAAGGAATTAAAATACAAATGGATGATTGGTCTTATTTCCTGCTCCCACATTGAGATAGTTTTTAATTTAAAGTAAAACACTGTACTGCCAAAATAACAGAAATAAAAAAAGAACAAAGCCATTAACCTATAGTAGCTACTATAGGAAACCTCTTCATAGAACATATTTTATATCCCTTATCCTCCCTACCTACTCCTCCCCAAAATATATATATATATATAAAATTAATCTCTCTCCTCTCTCTCTCTCTCTCTCTCTATATATATATATATATTTAAATATAGGAATAATGAGATGTCGAGGGCAATTTTGATTCCTAAGGTGTATGCTCACTGCTGGTTGGTATAATGGTAGGTTGGAAGGAGAGGGAGAAATGTGCTACTGTTTTTGTTTTTAATGATATTTTAAATTCAATATTGAGGGTGCTTATAGCACAGAATGTGTGTTTCTATTATTATATCTAAACAAATATACAGGACAGACTGAAAAAGTAGGTTACTACCTACCCTGGCATTCTGTGCCTCTTGTAGCTCCTGTATTCTTTGCAACCTTGCCTTGTGATCCATCTTCTCAAATATTTTAACTTTCCCCAGTACAGATTTTGGAGCACTCTCTCGTCCATCTACATCTTCCTCTGCCTTTTCCTCCTCCTCTGCGGCTGAAACTGCTGGCTGAGATGTCTTCAGTATAGGACGCCCAAAGGCAGGTTTCACAGAAACAGGAGGTGCTGCTGCCTTGGATACTACAGCTGAAGTCTCATTGCTGACAGTGCTAGAGCTATTTGGTTTGGAGTCATAGTTCTTGGGAAAGTCATATACATCCTCTTTGTTTTGTAGTTTACCCTATAGGTATTAAGAACACACTGAAGTTTACACATAGCAGCAACTTCAGCATCTTTAGATAAATATTTTCATTTGAAATTGGTTATATTGCTTGTGCATTTTTGTATTGCCCATCTTTGTTCATAAGGGATCAGAGCACTGAGTATTTAAGTATATAGGAGCTTGGTCACTGACTTGAATAGGGACAAAGTCTTACATTGTATGCAGTGTTATAATGAGCAGTAAAATCTGACCAGTCTATTTAATTCTTAAAAGATTTCTGGAAGGAAAAGAGAAAGAACAGGAAGAACCAGAGCAAGAGGTTTTTCTGGATTATATGGAGAATATTCTTCCGAGCTGAAACTATTACACAGGACACACGCCTATTCTCCCTGCAATCATCATTTCACTTACATGTACTGCTACCCAGCCCAAACTCTATTGCCAAGGCATATTTGAAAGGATGGTTGTTTAACTGTCTAGTAAGTGTATTTTGCGCAATGCAGACCAATGTTGGTGTCCACCTCCATGAAGAAAGTCAGAGGAGAACACAGGATTTCATTAATAGCTGCAACACCTTTCTTGAAGTGACCCTGGAGCACAGTTCGGCACTACTACTTAAAAGGTAAAAATAAAAAAGCCAAGAGGATTTCCTGCCATTCCACTGCCATTCTGAACCAGCTCCCAGCAGAGAGCTTATTAAAATCAAGAAGGAGTGTGTCTGAACTTCTCCTCAGCTGAGACATTCAGGAAGATCTTTGTTTTGGGCTTGGTAAGGGAGCAAGAGTGCCGGAATTCCCCCGGGGAAGAGATCAGGAGAGAAATGGGTAGTTTTCCAGCTAGTCACCAAACCCTCTAATGAAACACATGGTACCACTTCTAAATCTCAAGCATTCCCTTCCCAACCAGCTGCCAAGCTCTTTCGACAGCTCACAATCCTCTTCTTTGTCAATTCCCCTTCCTTCCTCTTCCCAAATTGCATTTTAGCTTCCAACAGCAGGTTACCCTAATAGAAGAAACATAGCCCACGATGTACAGCACCAGGTGGGTTCTTTAGAAAGATGAACTCTATCTTCAAATTGATTTCCACAAATTACCTTCGGTGGCTCGGGCTTGAATGCTGGAGGTGGGCTGGGATCTCTAAGTATCTCTCTGCTACCAGCCCTTCTCATTTGAGCTTTTGGTTCTGGGCTGGGTTTTCTTATACTCTACAAAAATATAAGAAGTTAATCACAAGAATATTCAAGTAATTCTTGACTTGTTTTAATCCTAGCCTTGTGGGCCAATTACCAGTAGTCACATGACTGGCAATGACATGACTACTATCACTGTAAAAGTGAACATCTGCACTCCAGGTGACACTATCAATGAAACTAGAGAGTTAGGGAAGCAGCTTAACTTTTATGCTAGAATTAATATGACTTTATAATTTTGTACCGGAGCTAGCATAATGCTGCAGCTGTAATCATACTTTTCTCAGGCACCAATTACAAGGGACATTTTCTATTACCATTTTACGACACACATGACTTTCAGGAAGTCACTGTCTTGCCAACACAGTCCCAATATCTTACCTCCTCATGCTGCACAGGCTCAGAAGATCGACTAATAGAGGAAACACTTGGTTCATCTGATGGCTCATCAAGCTCATTGTCCGTGTATGCACCTCCTTCTCCATCTGTGTCTTCCAAGTCACTGATCAAGCGGCTGTCACAGCTCAGGTAGTCAGCACCCATAGCTGTTAGGTATGACATGCGATCTTCCATGTCGTCATCCATTCCTTCCATCTATAAAAGTGGAAGGATTAGATTTGACTTCATCCCCCATTTTAGTTTGCAGTAACATTTATGGTACACAACACCTAAGAAACAGAAGCACATTAAACTGCAAGAATTCTGGGTCTCCCAGGAACATGAAAATAGCTCCAATAAAAAATTAATATGTATGCCCTAGCAGCAGCTATACGCCTTGGTTTTAATAACAGGAGCAACATGATAAAGTTATAAAAAAAAAAAAAGAAACTTTTATCCTGTACTATTTTTTCTCTCTTAGTTACCCACTGCAAAGATTTCAGATTAGTATAACTTTTCAATATATACATGTGTTCAGTATTTAGGGTGATGAGTTTGCCATCTGACCACTTTGAAGGGGAATTATTCCCAGAACAGAAAAACAATTTAGCATGTACAGTATGAGCTGTTTGACCACATACCTTTCCTTCCGACACCCATACTGCTTCAACTTGCTGTTGCTGAATTATATCTTTGAGGCTGCCGTACCAGCTATCATTGGCTGAATTCAAATTGATGGTAGCTGTAGACATTTAAAAAAATATATGCATTAGTGTTTTCATATATTTTTTCTATTCATTCTAAAATCTCAGTGCACCTACTTTATCCAATCTTTTCCATGTGACAAGGTTTTGGGTAATGCAAGAAAATCATATGGTCATTTTTACTAGACCACTTTCTAAAGGACAATGTTTGCACTTTTGTTGGCTTGGGGGGGAGGGGGAGGGAATGCTGAATAAATGCCAGCCCTTTCATTATTCACTTTTTTTCAGAAATAGTTTTATTACAGTAGTAAAGTTCAATATGAACATTTCTTTATAATGAAATACATCAAGATAGTGAACTCCTAATTGCCTAGGAAGGGTTTTCACATGACCACAGGTTACTGTACAAGATGATCTCTTACTCTGAACAGTATTAATTTAGTTTCTCAAACACACACATTCTTTCTCCTACATCCACCACTCTTTTGGAAAAGGAATTAGAGACAGATTCTTGCTTACCTGTAAAAAGATAGGAGCAAGTCTTCTTCAGCTTATTTGCTTGATCGTAAAGCTTCCGGGAACTCTTGTTAGATGTGGGACTTAGCCTTTGTCTCATAGTTTTCACACCCTGTTTACTGTCTGGGTTGAAGAAGACTACAATTGGGAACCACTGGGTATAGTTCAACAGATCCACCGCTTTAGGAGTCACATCCAACAAAGCATGTTTATTCTGTTAACAAGAAGAGGATATGAAGATAATGGAAAACCTCCTGCTGGGGAGATGGTGCAGATGGTCTGACATTATTAGAATTACTAAAGCTGTAGAGCACAACCGGAATGTTGTCTGGTTGTTATTTGAATACACAACCGGAATGTTGTCTGGTAAAAAGCCTTTATTAGCAGCAAGGCCCAAGTCAGTGCTGTAGTTGGAAAACAAAAGAGCTGAGAAAACAAAAAGGCCAGTTATGGCCCTCCCAACCAGGGCCATACCTGGCCCAAATCTCCCCAAAATCCCACCACATGCTGGGACTACAACGGGCATCTTCCCCTCGCCTTTCACCTACATTTTTTGGACATTCAAATAAAACAGTATATGAACATGGTATTTAATATTGGGCAATTAAATGTAGCAGAGAAAGGTATAACACAATCCAATGGCTGAAAGTTAAAGCTAAATACATTCAGACTGGATATAAGATATACCTTTTTAACAATGAGAGTAATTAACCACTGGAACAATTTACCAAGGGTCATGGTGGATTCTCCATCACTGACCATTTTTAAATCAAGATTAGAAACATCCAAAAGATCTGATATTTTGTGGAAGTTCTATGGCCTGCATAAGACAGGAAGTCAGTCTAGATAATCACAGTGGTCCCTTCAGTCCTTGGAATCTATGACTCAGATACAAATATACTAACTCTGACATTGTGTGCACCTTTCGTACTCTGTTTCCCATTTCTTTATTCCCTTCACACTTGTTTTCATTATCTTCCTTTTATTTGCATAGAGATTGTGAGGTTGTGCAGTCTACATGGTTTTATAAAAATATAATGTAACTGGAATATGCTTCATGCAAAAGGTCTCTTGTAAGGTATCCTTACAAAGCTTATAATCTACTGAGTGTGATCATCCTATTTGTATAAATGTACCACTCTTGTACCTAAAACTAGAAATATGAAATATAACTCTGAGGGCCTATTGTAATTATGCAACGTGTGGGCCATTAATGGTGGTTTGGAATCTTAATGGTTCCCATCAACCAGGACAATTGACTGGGGCTCTGTTTGTAAGCAAGCCTTCCTGTGAGTCAGGCTGGGAGGAATGAAGGCTTGGGGTCTTACAGTGACATGTGATCATGTCACATGAACTGGAATCCATCTTTAACCTGGTGCTTTTCTAGTGGGGGGGGGAGGGTGGAAACCCAGAGAGAGACAAAGGATTCCCGCCTTATGCAAAAGATATATAAAGGGGTGGAACAGAACAAAGAGGGAGAGGAGCCATCATGAAGAATCCCCTAGCTACCACCTGAGCTAGAACAAGGGCTGTACCAGGGAAAGAATTGTGCCCAGGCCTGGAAGGTGTCCAGTCTGAGGAAAAAACTTACTGAAGCATCTCTGAGGGTGAGATTATCTGTATTCAGTTTGATTAGACATAGATTTGCGCATTTTATTTTATTTTGCTCGGTGACTTTGTTCTGTCTGTTACTACTTGGAACCACTTAAATCCTATTTTCTGTATTTAATAAAATCACTTTTTACTTATTAATTAACTCAGAGTACGTATTAATACCTGGGGGAGCAAACAACTGTGCATATCTATCAGTGTTATAGCGGGCAAACAATTTATGAGTTTACCCTGTATAAGCTTTATACAGGGTAAAACTGATTGATTTGGGTTTAGACCCCATTGGGAGTTGGGCATCGGAGTGTTAAAGACAGGAACACTTCTGTTAGCTGCTTTCAGGTAAACCTGCAGCTTTGGGGCAAGTAATTCAGACCCTGGGTCTGTGTTGGAGCAGATGGGAGTGTCTGGCTCAACAAGACAGGGTGCTGGAGTCCTGAGCTGGCAGGGAAAGCAGGGATAGAAGTAGTCTTGGCACATAGGGGGGCCGCTCCCAAGGGGGTTTCTGTGATCCAACCTGTCAGAGATTTTCTTTTCTTTCCCCACCCTCCCCATCTCTTTAGTGTGCCCCTGCCCACTCATCATCTTCCCTCACCAGAATTATTTTCCCAGTCTTTGGGCTGCTATTCATGTTGAGTGAGTAGCCAGGACACAGCTCACATTTTCTGCTGATTAGAGCCTCATACCTATACTGCCAAAATTTAAAGCAAATATCCTCCGTAGGCCACATCCCATGGAAACTACACTCTGGGAAAGGCTTCTGGGGTGAAATCCTGGCCCTACTTAAGTCAATGGGAGTTTTGCCATAGACTTCAATGGGGTCACGTTTTCACCTCAGCACATATTTCTTTTGCCTACAGGGGTTCTCTCTCCCTCAGGCGTCCTGGTTGCCATCCCTGGACTCTTGAGCTCCAGTGGTAATCTTTAAAAAGTCAGCATTTGCTGACATTTCACACAGTTACCATAGCTATTTCAAATACATAGGTAGTAACTGTTGTCAAATATTGACTTTGTAATGGCCATGACTGCAGTTGGAGCTTAGGATGAAGGTAAAGGTGGCCCTGGCAGTTATAGGGTATGTCTCCACCACAAACCAAGATATAAGTGTATTGCATACCCACCTTTAGCTTTAATCCAGTTGGCATGGCTAACAACAGTTGCGAACACGTGGCGGCACAGACTTTATCCGGGACTATCAACTCATGTACATAACCAGAGTCCTCAGCAGGTTTGTACTGGGGCCGTCACATCTTCACTACTCTTGTTACCCATTCTAGCTAGGTTAAAGCTAGCGTGAAAATGCCTACCTGTTCTACAATTACACTTCACTTGCGGTGTAGATGTACCTATAGATACAGTAGAGCCAGGAGGACATTCTGGAACATTCCAGCTCTGTTCAAGCACTGGATCCTGGTGTGGTTTAAACTTAGGCAAGTCCACAAATAGCTTTTTTAAAAATCTGAACATTTTAATTGGATTAATATGGGGCCAAATTCATGGCTAACATAAGTGGGCTCATTTCTAATGTTGTCTCTGAAGTACACATTCACAGGAAATTAATGAAATGAGAAAAAACAAAAATCAAGTAAGACTGGTGATCCAGTTTCCCCACAGTTCCAGCTTAATTTCAAATGCACATTAACACATTTATTTTCTTGCATATTAATATGTTAGAATTCTTTCTCCAAGTTTTTAGGAACAAAATAAACAAACAAACAATCTGCTTTTGATAGCAAACGTTTTTCAAACAGAAATACTTTACCTGCTCAATAATTTGCCTCACAGTGTTCAAACGCACCACACCAGTTGATTTCTCTGAACCTGCATCTTTGGGTTCTGTCTCTGCAATGATAACAGATTTTTTTTTTCAGTTGTGAAATGAGTGTTCAAATTACCCTTCCCCCAAAATTCAATGCTGAAGAGCCAAACTGCTGAAGAAAAAGTAATGAATGACTTACTGGCAGTTTGATACAGATCAGGCAAGTCATTTGACAGCTTTTCCATCGCTAGATCTGCAATGGGGCCAAATATCACCACAGGTCTCTTAAAACCAGCTGAAGAAAAAAATATTTAGACAGAAGGTCTTTACATATAAAATCACCAGGGCAATACGTATTGAAACAAACATGCAGAAAAGGTTCAATTTAATCTTTAAGACTAATATCTTGGAAGTATCTAAGCTCCATATTATATATTACACCCACACACACCCACCCACCCACCCCTACCTTTTGGTTCCCAGTGATTCATGCAGGACCCTTCCTAATGCGAAAGGACTTCATGTATGACTTACCAATGGGGAAAAGTGAGTCATTCACCACCCCCCGCACACACAATTATAAAAAGTTAGAAGGGAGAAGAATGAAAAAAAGAAAAGCGTAGATAGTCCTTCACATTATTCAGAATCAAGAACAGCTGAGATGATTCTGCCATTTGAGCACGTATAGTACAATTTCACTAGTCTGCCCTGCAGACTGCCCTCGAAGCCACACTAAATGCCGTGAGACTACTCTTATGATTAAAGTTACAAACATGCTTAAGCATTTGCAGGATCAGAGCACTTTACAGTGGCAAAGAGATGAGAGAGTGTTATTATTCTGAGGCCAACGCAAGTAACATAATGGTCCTTGTAAGCCAGTGGGAGAAGGCCATATTGTGCTCGGTGACCCCTGAAAGTGTTTTTACTACTTTTTGTTCCTGTTAGCACAGTAGAACCAAAACAGCACAGGAGAATGGAAACTATCCTGACTCATGCAACATCAGGGGAATTATTACGGGGACAAAAATTCTTCCCTCTGTTACATCTAGGCAACTCTATTAATAAAGGCAATGGGATTACACCAGTGTAACTGAGGGTTGGATTTGCCCTAAAGAATCATTATTACAGGTGTCTATGAATAAGCCAGAAAGAACACAGCTAAACTTTCATATCCCAGGTTATGTTTGCAAAGCTGGCCAAAACATACCAAAACCAGAACGCATCTGTTTACTTGTGAAGTGAGCAAATTTGATGTAGAAGTAAAGAAGAGACAAACATGGACTTCCAAGAAGCAGTGTTTGCAGTGACACTTTTTAGAGCAGAGAACAGCTGCACTCAGAAGTTAGAATCTTGACCAGGAGAATAGCATGTTACCACTTTCTGTTATACTTTACATTTAGCCTAGAGCCCAAGATGGGTGGTGACACTTATTAAGTTGCCACATAAATGACAGTAAAACTTGGGCAATAACAGCAAGCTGTGAATAGGTGCTCAGTTCTGTAAAGTTTCACTCACCCTCTCGCAGCAGAACTCGCTCGTAGGCTGGGAACTTTGTGCTAACAGATGCAATCGCTGTCAGATCTTCACGACTCTTTCTCAGATTCTTTTTCATTCCAGATCGTTGGCCACGCGTTCTCCAGAAATCTGCCCTGTCACTCGAGCCATCTCTTTGGGCATTCTGAACACTGGCCATCTGGTCAGCTCTGAAAGGAACAGCATGGAATCCATTTGAAAAATGCAATCAAAGGGAAAACATGCCACACTAAAGGAAGAAGCTCAGCAGAATCCAGGATATGAATTTGTAAATACAGTGGACAACTCGGCAGGTAGGCAATCTGTGGAGGGGCATCCAGGGACTCTTGCCATGAAGCAGGCAAAATTAATATCAGAGATGCTCTGACTTGCCTCAGCAGCAAGGTTTATTGTGCATGAATCAATCCTCTAGCTGCTAAGGCAAATGACAAACGTAATGTATGCCAAGTAGCTGCTCAAGGAAAAGGTGGTGTATGTGGAGATGGAAAGAGAGGAAGCAACCCATCATGAAATGATGGGCAAATTGCCTAACGACCACCTCCTGTTCTCCATCATCTCTTCCTCAGATATCTTAAATTGAGTCCAAAAGGTAAAGCCCCCTTGGTCAGATCAGCATAACAAGGAATAGACTAAGGTGCACCACATAGGAAAGGAAAACCAAGCAGGACAGCATGGAAGTACATTGTAAAGTCACTTTAAAAGTAACTTTAGGAACTTTTGTATAGGAGAATTGAAGATTTTTTCTTAAAATAAAACTGCGACTATATTGAAAGTTATATCACTTAGATACGACTTTGCTGCACTCTGAAATTCTTCATTAAAAGCACATCAGATAACCAATCACTTTTTAAAATATGTCTGAATTAACTGGGTTTGTAAAAGCAAATTTAGCAAAAAAATTCCCACAACAATACAGTCACCCTTAGTACTTCAAAGAATACAATTAAAATTGTCAAGTCACGAAAACACACTTTCCCTAAGAACATGCAGCATACAGAAAAGTATTAGAGGCTTTTTCCACAACACTTATCGCTGTAATACCGGAGTGCCTCACATATGCTATTTAATTTATCTTACCCTCTCCTCTCTCATTTGAGGTAAGAAAGTATTATTCCCATTTTTCAGATGGAGAACTAAGGCATGGAAAAAGTACACACCTAGTGCAAGATCTCATAGGAAGTCTACAGCAGAGCTGGGATTAGAACCCAGATCTCACAAGTCTGAGTGCAGTATCTTCGCTACAAGGCCATCTTTGCTCAGCTGTTACCGAATAATTCCATAGTTTTAAAAGTTGATTTTACACACACTATTGTTATGAATGTGATCGCTTGAACATGGACACCATCCATCCCTCTTTTCCCCTCCTTCCTCTCCCAAATGGGTTATACAAATGGTGAATAGGGTGAGAATAAAAAGTAGGTGTGTGTGTGTGTGGGGGGGGGGATCTCTTATTTTAAACATTGGGTGGGCAGGTGGGAAATCAATGTACCTGCTTTTATTTGGAATGATGCCCTTTTCCAGTTCATTTCCAATTCTCACAGCCAGCCAGTTACCCAGTTTGCCATCGTACAGTGTATCAACTACTCGGAAGATCTCCCCTCTGGTGAATGCTAAACTCTGTGGAGATTCCTTCTCGCATTCAAAGTGACTCCTTATGAAAAATGAATCCCCTCTGCCACAGGCCATTATGTCTCTATACACTGAAAGACAAGACATGACATCATTTAGTTTAACTTTGCTAAATAGATGTCCTATACCTTGCTGTGACAGTCTTCTATGGGTGGTGTTTTACTCACCTGCACTTCAAGCCTAAAACCTTAAATACTGTAAGTTAGTGAAGGAGAGATTAAGCTGTTATTCTAGTCTAAAAACTTTGAAATTTCTCCTCTTCATCCCCAGGGTGGGAAAGAAAAGGTGAACTGGCATGTTCCCTATGCCTGCCCACCCTTTTATTCCCTAAAATCTCCCCCACCTCCCGCCCTTCATTCCATCTGATTCGTTCTGGAAGTTGTCAACATCATTGCTTTAGTCAGCCAATGGAAGTAGGGTGACCAGATGAGGGGAAGAAAATATTGGGACACATGGGGGGTGGGGGGGCCGAGTCCTGCCGGCTAGCAAAAAAACAACAACAGTGCTGCCGGCGGATATTGGGACAAATTGCATCCCGACCGATCTTTGGGACAGACACTGAAATATCGGGACGGTCCTGATTTTATCGGGATGTCTGGCCACCCTAAATGGAAGTGAGAGGTGCGTTGTACTGCAGAGCAACACAAAACTGTTTTCCCTGCCTCAGGGTTTGCATCCATAGCATTCCCAACCACTGCCAGCACAGGGAACTGGATATTTGAACTGATTCTTCATGCAGTCCTGTCAGCTTTCCCAGCTCTCTCCCTATATTTCCAATTTTAAAAATATTTGTATATTACTAAGTGTTCTAGCACATACACATGCGCGCGCACACACACACACATAGTAATATCTAAAACCAAACAAACATTTGTATTTTCTTATTGCCTCATGGATAAAAGCCCTGCATTGCTGATATCTGACAACAATCCCCCTACAGATCCCATGGCTGAAGGGGAAGGCAGCAAGGAGCAGCATCTTGGCCGCCCAAGCTACTGGGCATGGGGGACAAGAACTAAATGGCGGAGGTTCAGAGCTAGCAAGAGGTGCGTATTACAGGCTGGGTGGATGAGTAGAGCAGGGCTCTTCTTTGACCAGCTGAACGGTGAAGCGGCCAGCCCACCTCTCCCCCTCCACATGTCCAGGATGGGAGTCAGCTGGACACAACAGCAATAATTTTCTACAATACTTAAAATGAGGGCAATTAAAAAGTGTTTTGAAAAGTGAGAAATGAGAAAGAGCATCTGTGATGTCCCCAACAAAACACAGCTGAGTTGAAAGGCCTACTGTTCTTTTCAATGCCTGTCATACTGAATCATAACAAACATTGTCACACCTTTGGTGCCAGGTGCCTACCTTCATATTTGCTCTGAGCCAAAATGGTCACAGTTTCACCTTTGGGAATTTCTAACAGGTAGAGAACAGCATCCTCCCGCACAATGCCTCTAAAATCCTGCGTGTTTACCTGATGCAAAAGAAATGTTTTAGGAAAAAGTTAGTCTAATAAAGCCCTAAAAGAGGAAAGGAAAAGGCTGTTTTATTATGGTTTAAAAAAAAAAAAAAAAGTATCATCAATACAGAGGTTCATTGGCTTATGCCAATGGACATTATAGGTATGCAGAAGATGGATTACCTGTAACTACGAGTGACGTCCTGAAAGTGCCCTGCTGTTAAGGGAACTCTGTGAAGGGCTACAAAATGCCTGAACATGGGCACAGATGGCCCAGGTACATCAGAAAAGGTCCATGTCCAGGTAAGGATATATCTGTTTCCACATATTATGCTGTTCTGTAGTTAAAACCCCACGTATTCCAAGTATACTGTTGTGCTAAGTAATCAAGGAACTTCAAGTAATCTGATGCACTGGTGTGCTCCAGATGGTTATAATTCATCACAGGATTGTACCCTAGTTTCAATATCATCCAGACGCATTCTGGTCACCTAGAGTTGTGAGCACATCCCTGTGGTTGCCTCTCAATTGGACTCACCCTACCCCCTTTTCCATGTGTGTCTCGTCTGTTTATTTGGACATAGAAGTGATGTCCACTGCCTTGGACAAACTATGAGGCGCTAGGGGAAGAGCTGTACTGGAGTGCAGTGATTCCCAGTGCAAGGTCTTTGGGCCAGTCAGGGTCTATTTGCAGGAGGAAAGTTGAGAGAGAAAAATGAGACAGTGAAGGAGAATCAACGCTTCAGAAAAGGAGTTACTATTTCAAAACCTGTTCAGGCCAGCAACCAATTAGAGAAATGAAAACATGAGAAGCAGGGGACTATGGGACTGAGACAGACCCCATTGAAATCAACTTAGAATCTTTATTGACTTCAGAGTGCTTTCGGATCAGGCCCAATTGATTTAGACAGGAGAGAAAACTCAGGAGGAGGACATGATAGACAGAAAAAGGAGAGCCACAGTCTCAGAAGAGATTTTTGGGGTAGAAAAACAACAAGGAGGGAAACCTAAGGAGTTTTGATAAAATAACATCTATCACCTTTTATTCACTAAAATGTGAGCAAAGGGAGGGAGAAAATAATCAGATCATAGAGGAACAACAGCTAAACGATGCGTGGGAGAGAGGGGAAGATACTCTGGTCTCATGCTCTGTGGTCTGTTTTCTCAGCTGGAGACTGGAAGAGTCACTAGTGAGCGTATCCACTTCCATCTTTGGGCATTTGTGTTGTGTAACATTTCTACCAACTGCTTCTCCTATTGAATCTTAATAAATTTCAACAGCAGAAGTCAAAATTTAAGAATTCAGATTTAAAAAAAAAATCATGCTCTAGGAACAGTGACCTTGTCCCTAGGAATAAAGTAATATGGAATTATGGTTTTTTTCATATTGATAAAAGTAAAAAAAGCAAATCCTTTCACATGGTATCAAGGAACAAGCAGTTTTAGTTGCAGGGCTGAACATTTACACTGGTACCTTAAGAATCTGATCTCCTTCCTGTAGCCCCTCCTGGTCAGCTGAGGTGCCTTCTTGAATTCCAGCGACAAATATCCCTACATCATTCCCACCTGCCAGCCGCAGACCCACACTGTCTCCTTTCTTGAATTTTACCATCTTTGTATTAGGACTAGAGTATTCAAATGCAGAAAGAAAAAGCCAGGCCAAATATTATACATATGACACCCATCATTTGTAGGAAGTAAACTTAAGCATGCTTGCTGTCAATCCCCCTATGGTATTTATATGGCCCCATCACTGTACTGTGTGAGCATCTATCAGTCTTTCATGTATGTCTCCTCACAATACCCCTGTGAGGTAGGGTAATGCTATTATCCCTGTTGCACAGATGGGGAACTGAGGTACAGAGAGGCTAAGCGACTTGCCCAAGGCCACAGAGAAAGTCTGTGACATAACTGGGAATTGAACCCAGGTCTCCCCAGTCCTTAGCTAGAACCCTAACCACTGGGCCATCTGCCTCACATAGAGAGCTGTTTTTAAAATATACCAGTTTAAATGAATTATGAGCAATCACACTCAGATTTTTTTCTTCTCTCTACATTATGCAGAATGCAGTGTAATACTCCACCAGGTCATTAATAGGAGAGTCAGATAACATGGAAGTCTTCAGACTTTCTTTTGTTGGCAGAGTGTCAAGAATGCCCAATTGGTAAGTTGAATCAATCCTCTCTTGTTCCAAGGAGACAGCAAGTACTGGAGTAAGTTCAGCTTTTTCTCTGCCAGAAATGTTGTATGCCTGGATGACCTTCACATACTTAGAGGACACTGCCTTTCTGTTATCATTCACTCAACATACCAGTTAGAGCCTGTACCATAAATTCTCTTCAACTGAACCATAACTAAACACTGATATATCAATTTGTACCCATTATCCATATCTGCAATACACAGGACTTGACCCTGAGACAGCCTTTCAGAAGTTTATCAGGTCTCAGATCTTTAAACCCAACTCTCTACTGGAACTATGGAATAAAAAGATCTTCAATTCCCCTTCTTTAGGGATCACCCCTTCAATCCAAATCTCCAACTGATTTATTACTCTCTCCCCAACACCAGACCATTTCCCCATTTAATAATTTATGTTAAAAAAGTATCCAGGTTGTATTCCTATAAAGCACCTTAGTGATTTCAAATATTAGATTCTAGACAGTCAAAGTTCTAGAGGTCAACATTATCACATTTAACTTGAGGGTAGATTAAAAAAAATTAGGTCCTAGGTCCACAGACATTTTGTTACTGCTTTTCAGTGTGCAGATTCCACAGCTGCATACAATACACAAACTAGGGATTGAGAAGATACACATTTAGCTGCAAAAATCTCCAGCTTGTATATACACAACTGTGGAATGGGTGTGTACAAAAGCAGGCACAACACACACACACAAAACCCCCACACCCAGACCTTAGGCCTTACTTTATGATAATCCAGCCTCTAAAGTTTTATCCTATTCAAAGTTATCAATGCCCTTTTTATAGATTACATTTCTCTCTGCATATTAGATTTTTGGATATTAGAGACCATAGATTAACATAGAGGAGGAGGTCCAAGGACCATGCATAAAGATACATACCTACATTTGCAAGTGCAATTGTGTTTCTGTGTGCAAATTGCAAAGGTAGGTATTTAACTAGCAATCTGCATTTACAATCAGTCTATGAAGTCGGGGACTGAATATACAAATATAGGGGCATGCATTCTTGTGCATATACATTAGGCCTCCTTTTTTAAAACTAAGTTCATCCTAAATGTTGTCAGTCAGCTATTTAATACAGAACCCAAGTTACCTTTTCTTGACATAGGACTGTTTAGGGGAAAACCACTACGAATGCATGAAGAAAGCAGCCAAAGAAAACAAAAAAAGCAATATGGATAGATGGTGAGAAAAACCAGGTGTTGAAAGAAGCATACCCGTATATTGCTTCATCTTCAGGACTAGGCCGAAGAAAGGTTCTTGGGGCTACTTTTGGTTGAAATACTGTGTGTAAAAACCATAAAGTTATCTAACTGGACAAACAAGACATAAAAGAATGAAAGGTTTTTAGTTACAGGCAGCAGTTACAACAATATCATGTATGCCAGCAGAGAGTGCAGATCTGCAGCCTAATGCACAGGGCACTGACTGCAGTGTCCAAAAGTAAAAAGTAACTAAAGAACAAATGTCAAGGCAGTAAATTAACTTATGCTTTCAGGCTCATCTCCCAATCATGTAATCCTTGTCAAATGGTTTTCCCCCCCCTACAATTTTCTTTTTGTCAGGAAACTGTTATTCAATCTTTTGCTCCAATTGTCCTCTTTTAAGGTCTCCCCAAAGGCCAGTCAGCCTATGCCAGCCAAGAAGGCTGGATGTGAATTCCCTCTAAGCCAATTTATGCCAACTGTCAATCAGCTGGGGAAGATGTGGATAAGAGATGCCTTCAGACCCTACCTTCCTGGGAGATAACAGAGCCAGGATTTTGTCAGTACAATTGTATAGATTCACTTCTGAGGATAAGAGCACTCAACCTACATTTAACCTTTGTGCTTTATCTTTAAGCTCTCTCCTGTCCTCTCTTTTCAATGGAATAAAGACTTGGTTATTTAGTTCTTTATTATAGATAAGAAGAATTGCAGGCTGCTCTGCACAGGAACTGCCATACCAGATCAGATCTGTGGTCCATCTAGTCTAGCATCCCATCTCTGACAGTGGCTAGTACCAGGTGAGGAAGGTGCAAGAAACCCTGTAGTAAACAATTATGGAATAATCTGGGGAGCCATAGGAAAAGTTTCTTCCTAACTCCCTCCAATTCACGTTTGGCTTAATTCCTGAAGCATGCGGGTTTATACCCCTTGGAATTCCCTTCCCCCCCCCCGCCTCTCCTCCCGCCAGCGAATGGGTTTTGTTTGGAGGAAAAAAAACATCTCAAATGGGACATTTGTAGCTCTGACCTGGCGGGTCATCTTTGTACTTTGGTTCTTTGTTTGTCTCGGTGACGATGACAGCAGCAGCTATATCACTGGTTGATTTAAAAGGTGTGGGCATCGCTCCCATCCTGGACAACCTGTTGGGTGGATCCTCTTTTGTACTTAACAAAAAGAACAACAAATTGAGAACATTGAAACAAAATTTGGTACAAATTAAAAATTTCTTCTTTAGTAAGAAAAAGAAGAGTAACACTTCCTACTTTGGCTTTTCCTTTAGTTTTTCATTGGAGGAATGAGAGTCGAAATCAGAGTGATGTAATTTTTGGTCATCTTGAGGGGAGCTTGATCGGTTTGACTCAATTTCAGAAATATCTATTGAGAGAACAGTACAGTAAGTCTGTTTAAGATATTGGTCTTCAATTTCATTGCACATTTATCCACATCTACTTACTTGCAATAATCTAGATACAAAATATGAAGTATTTATAAACTATCCCCGCTCTGGAAAAGAGATTTGAGTGTGGCTGGGGCTAGAAAGAGAAGTGACCTGCACCTCTCAGAGCTTCTGTCTCCCACAAAATATTTCAGGAAGGTTTTGTAACATCCAAAAAGAAATTCCAAGGAGCATCAAAAGCAAGTGTAAACTTTTCCCAACTATTATTAACATTCTACTGGTTTGAGCTCTCGCTAGAAAAACACACCACACAGAGGCCTATCTTTATTATTATAGAAATAAGAGAACTATAAAATGAAGAAGAGATAGTGGTTGCGAAGAACTGAAACCGAATCTTGCATAGTAAAAGATTAAATAAAAGAAAATGGCTTGTCTGTCATAGCCCTCCCCAATTTCTTCTTTGGAAGTCCAGAGGGTTCACTGTTAAACAACATGAAGCTGAGCTGTTAAATGTCCTTCAGAGAGAAAAACAATTTTCCCTGTAGCTCACAAATTCAAGCCACGACCCATTCTCAGCAGGAAAAGCTCCAAGAAGCTGCACTGAATATTCTCACACCAGAAACACACTTCCTGAATCAATTAACAGCATGTTTCCAGTGAAGCACCAGCACCCTTCCCAATGCAGGTTATGCTTAGAGGGACTATTCATATGAAAAAGATCCAGGAAGTTGCTTGGAGGAGGCTAAACTAAGCCCCCAGGACTGTTGATTCCATAATTCTGTCTCCTTCCCTGGAATGTTGGAAGGAGTGGAAGTGTCCTTAGAGTGAAATAAAACTGAGCTCATCCCACCATTGTCATGAATCGGGCCTTGCATTAAAATGACTTTCCTTCTAGCCATGGTGAGTTGGGCTTTGCTTTGTTTAGTCAACATTACTCATGAATCAGCTAGAAAGGTCACTGAAAGACACAATGCCTGCTGAGTGACTGAAGGTTCTTCCTACACCAGAGGAAAAGGGTTTGCTGCTTCTTTGTCTTTCTACAGAATAGCTGCAATATAGGTACCAATCAAATATGGTACTTGCATTACCACTCTCCTATGAGAAACCCTTTATATAAACAGCTTCACTTTCTGTTTATACAGGGAGTAGAACGGACATTGCCTTTTGGCCCTAAGACACCTCACCTTCTATTTCTGAGTCACTGTCATGCAATGAAGGGATGTTGAGCAGTGTCTGTTTTCTGTCCCTGAGGACTACCAACTGGAGTTTTCCTCGTGATTTCTCAATCAATTTTCGGGCATCAGCTAGCGACATATTCTCTGTCACTGTACCATTAATCTGTACATATAAGGCAGAAGTACTATTATAAGCAAACAATTAAGAACACAAATGGCAATAAGAAGTCATATCAAAGGTCAAATCCGCTCATCCCCTTTCCAGTGAGCAGATGTTCTAATTAGGTTTTCAAACAAAACAAAAAAACAAAACAAAACAAAAAAAACCACCTCAGCACAGAAAGAAGCATTGTAATAAATATATGCTTCAGCATGCCTTTGTCCACAACATACCTTGAGTATTATGTCTCCTTCATACAGATTACCATCTTTAGTTGCCAGGCCAGTACTGGTCATTTCTTTTATGAAAATCTGACTTCCAAGTCGGAGACCATACTCTGGAAAACGAAGAAAAAAAATCCACAGCCTGTAGTTTGGCAGAATGAGTAAGTGTTTACATCTAATAACTAGGCTGTGTACACATCAACCACAATCACATGCAACACAGCACATTATAGTAAAAGGGAATCAGGCCCCTTAAGAAGCAGAGGTAACATGGTGAGACTCAAGGACGGGACATCAGTCCTACACTGCCAACAGTCTCACATTTCACTTTTTTAATGACAGGTTTTTGTACCTAATGGGTCAGATTCTCTCCTGTGCCATATTCTGCTAGTGCAGGAGGCTGGGGAGGGCAGTGGGGGCATCTAGGGTGGCATTTATGGTTCTCCCACTCTCAAATGGTAGTGGCTCGTCATGGCACCAACTTAGGATAACTTAGCATAGCCCCGAAGAGACTTCAGTATTTGAGAAGTGGAGCCATGGTCCCTCCCCTCCCCAGATACACCCCCTACATTGGGGGATAGGGAGGGGGTTGGCTCTCTGGCTTTATGCCAGTACAGTCCCATCGCCAGTGGAGTTGTCAGCAGGACAGCTGTGGCTAGATTCCAGTACAGCTCCAGCAGCGTAGAGGGGCCAAAACCACTGTATTCTATTTTAAAAAGTAAAATATCTGTTTTGAAAGCAGCCTGTTCTAGAATTGTCAAATTAAGCTATTTTCCCATTTTCAACACCATCACATACAAAACAGGCTACTACAGCTCTGAATGGTCATGGTGTTTTTGTACCGCCTGTTAGCTACGTACAAACTTCTTAAGCAAAGTCGTTAAACAGATTTTCTCTACATGCACAGTACGTATCTCTGTGTGCATTATCTTTACATATTGGAGCATAATTTTTTTTGGTAAACTCAATGAAAGTGACCTGTCATGTGCAAAATTAATTTTTATTTAAAAAAACAAAACATAAGCCTCCCCCTTCCACCAATGCTATTAAGATAGATGCAGTGGTGTGTTCCAGATTTAGAAGAACAGGTTTGCTCCTATGGAGAGACGATTTACAATATGCCAAGTGCCCCCACGCAGTGGATTTCTATAAATCCCAGGAAAACAGGATTTATAAAGTGAAATGCTGACACAACCCAATCTAAAGTGTAGTTTTGTTGCACGACATATGTATTTTTGTGACACTATTAAAATCATCACACACACACACACACCCAGGCACCCTCCAATGTTTTGTTAAAAGTTTACTTTTTAATTACTCTAATGATGCATGAACTAGTTCTAGTTTGAACCAAACCCTGAGCTATTAGAGGTGCATGTATCAACCCATTTCACCCAAACTATACTTTTGGAAACCTCGTCTGCCTTCCACTAAAGCAAATAAGCTAAGCCAAACCAAACACTAAAAGACAGGATGCAGCAGGTTCTCTTTAATCTATAAGTGCCAGGTGTAAATTTAACCATGATCAAAGTCATGGATTCCATCAGAACTGGAAGGGTAGTGAGCTCATAGGAGGAAAGAACGAGAGTGCACAGTGACCCGGAGAGACTAGAGCAGTGGATGGTACAGGCAAGGAGGAAGTCCCATGTCCAAGGACAAAGAGTAGACGGCACCCACACACAACGGTAAGGGAGTGGAGGAGGAATGTAGGTAAGCAGTTGTACGTAGAGTATTAAAGCCACCCACCCAATAGCCAATGGAGAGAACAGCATTTTCCCCTTAAATCTATCCCTTCACCAGAAGCGTTTCCTGCCTCCCCCCCACAGCTACCTTCATTCGGTTTGCTTTTTGTTAGGAGAACACCGATAGGTCTATCCTGTTGTCCTGGGTACTCATGCTGGCGTCGTGGTTCAAGCAAGGGGCTGTGGGAATTCAGTCTGTCTCGACTATGACTCCTTGCTTCCTTGTCGTATCTAGGGTCAGGCTGATGTCTGTGACTGTAATCCCTGGGTGGGCTGTAGTCACCAGCGGCACGTTCATAGCCATCATCCCTGTCGATGCTCCTGCCCCTGCTCCGGTCTCTTCTGCGTTCTCGGTCCAAGCTTCTCTCCCTGTCGATGCTCCTGCCCCGGCTCCGGTCTCTTCTGCGTTCTCGGTCCAAGCTTCTCTCCCTGTCGATGCTCCTGCCACGACTTCCATCCCGGCTGTAGCTGCGTTCCCTGCTGTGGTCTCTGCTGTAGTTGCGCCCTCTATCTTGATCTCTTCGGTAGCTCCTATCAGGGCTGTTTCCCCAGCTTTGACTGCGACCTCCATGGCCACTATGCCAGCTCCGATCACTATAGCCACTTCGAGCACTCCTGCCATCGAACTCTGCTGGGTCATCCAGTACATCGAAAGCTCTATCATCATGGTCAAGAGAGGGGCTTCTCCTTAGAGCGGTGAGCTGCACTTTCCGTGGTCTTTTCACTACCTGTTTGTATTAAACACAAAACAAAAACAAAGAAGAGCACCTCTCTCAACATCCATTTTAAATCTTATTCCAAATGCTGAAAATCTCAAATGCTAGGTCATAAAAGCAAGAGCCTCTAAGCAACTTATTGTTCAAGAAGCTTTGTTTTCAAAACACTGTGAAGTGATAGGTTAAAATTCTATGTCGGTTGTTAGAAACATCCCTTTAGTTTCATCCATCTAAACAGAGCAAGAGTGGTTTGTTTTTTTTAAATTGCCTTAAACGGCATAAGTTGATAAAGTAATTTTTTTTAAAAGCTTCTAAAAACTGTGCTGTGCCCAAGCAAACAATACTCTCTACTTAAGGGAGGTAAGAAACACATGCTAAGCCTGTTTAGATGTAAACTCTTTGGAAAGGGACTGTACATTGTGTGTCTTGCACAGGGCACAGCATGTTGTCTCCATCTTAATAAATAAATAAATAGGCAACAACAGAGACATTAACTGTGGTTGGTCATATGGTTAAGACACTGCACTAAGATTCAGGAGAGCTGAGCTCATTTTCCTGCTTTGCCACAGACAGGCTCCTTGTGTTACACTGGACACGTCACCTAACCCTTCCCCACTTGCTTCAGTTCTCCATCTATAAAATGGGGATAATATTCTCCTCTCCCCACATACAGTTTGGCTTTTTTATTTAAATTGCAAGCTCTAAGGCATGAAAGGTTTTACTGTGTGTATGAACTAGTGTATACACCTAGCTCAGCGGGTACTGATCTTGGTTGGGGTTATAGGTACAACTATAATGCAACGAATTAGTAATTGTTAACTTACAATGGCAGCCACTTTCCCACTTTTTCTTAACTGCTGCACTGCAAAAGAATGGGGAACATTTTCCATTGGGGTCCCATTAACCATGACCACCCGGTCATTTTCTCTACAAAAGAAGTACATGATGGGTTAGAAGGGACATCCTTTAATTTTCAAATTGAATTCCACTTTTGTTCTGAACGTCCTGTGCATTCACTAACAAAAAACAGAACACAAGCTAGTCTTAAACATCCATATTAGTTTATATAAACTGGGAGAGCTTAAATAAGGCACATGCTGAAGGCTTCTTCCAGTTTTAACAATTCATTGATTGTTGGTGGTTTTTGGTTTAAATGCCCCTATGTGTGATTGATTGATGTGCTGATTCCAGGATCGACAATAACTTACAAGACAAGGTGGGTGAGGTAATATCTTTTATTGGACCAACTTCTGTTGGTGAGAGAGACAAGTTTTTGAGCTACACAGAGCTCTTTTTGAGGTCTGGGATGGGTACTCAGGCTGTCACAGCTAAATATAAGGTGGAACAGATTGGTTAGCATAAGCATATACAGGCGAGTCTCATCTTACGCGGGGGTTCCATTCCGCGGTTAGCGCATAAAGCGAAAACCGTGTATAGTCAAAATTACAATGAGTTGAATGGCGGGCGAAATCGCCCGCACTACAGGTACAGTATTAAAATTGTTATTTTTCTCTCTTTTTTTGGTTTTGCCGACGGCGTAAAGCTGAAATCAGGCATGTTAAATGCGCGTAAGATGCGACAGAGCTGTATTCCAAGGGACCATTCAAGGTCAAATGGCCCTTAACACCCCTCCAGTTATAGGGGGGAAAGACAGTGTGTGTGTGTGTGTGTGTGTGTGTGTGTGTGTATTATAGATTGTTGTAATAAGCCATAAATCCAGTGTGTCTATTCAGTCCATGAATACATGGCTACAACACTGTAAACAATAACTTACAAAATCTGTTAAGGATCAATGGGTGCATTCTTTTAAACCTTGACACACATTTTAAGAATTTTACGTCCAGCAGAGGTTTCCACAGCCACATTAGAACTACAGCCTTTATTCCACCTGATGCTATAGCTTGAACTGTTATAGCCACAACATTCCACAAATGTTGTCAAGAACTGTTTGGCAAGGTAATCGTACAGTTCTCCTGCCCACTCTGGAAGAAGATTTTTCTGTTGTAAACCAACCGTGCTAGCCAAAAATCACACTCTGGACATTAACCCCTAGCTAATCTAGGTGAATATGAGCAACTAGCTACATTTTACAGGGAAAAAAGATTAATCTCTAGGGGGATGTGAACAACCTTTTTTCTGTAAAATTTCTCACCACTACAACTCCACAAGTAGGTCGCCCTAGCATAGATAATGCCATTGGCATTTTAACTTCTGTGTTGTCTGACCCTGGTCACAGCAGTTCTAGATGATACTGTTGCTAAAATAGAGGCAGTCACCGTTGGCTGGTCTACATTAGCATCCCCACATTCCTACGGCTGGTGGAGCTACACAAGCAGCATAAATAATGGAAAGTTTCAGGAAAACAGATCTAGTGCAGACAATGCCTAAATGAAGACATCATGCAAACATATTAAATGTGGAGGGAAATTGCTTCAGATATTGTTGTGTTAAGGGCCAGCATTTGAAAGCTGTCAACAAGGACACTATGTATGTGAAGAAGGCTGCCATGAGAAGTAATGTCCTGCTAAAGTTTTTTTTTCTTAAAAACACACAAAGAAGACATGCTTATGTATAGAACAATACAATATACCACCATTAAAGTAGATTAACTTGTTTATGAGATAAAAAAAAAAAGAGGTATGATTTCATTTAAAATATGGACAGTTGACACACAAGTCTACAGAAAGAAACACCCTGGATCAAGTTGCTGGGGCAGGCTCTCAAATCAAACCTGCACCTTTATCTGCAAAACATTCCAGACATGGGGGATATAGGGAAGCACACTTACTGAAGTAATCCATCTGCTGGGCCACCTGGGAGGACATCTGAGATAACTATGGACGTTTCGCCATTTTCAAAATGAGGGTTGTCTCTGCCACCGGAAACTGCAATCCCAAACCCTCTTTTTGAATCCTAAAAAAAAAAAAAAAAAAAAAACCACACACACATACATAAAACAGAACTGAACACTATTACATTTCAACATGGAGACAGAGATTATGATTAAGCCAACAGACTGTCATCACAGCAACACTCACTTTAGATAGAAAAATGCAGTTCTGATGAAGCGTTGCACAAACTAGAATGAAAAAACAATCCGCAAAGTAACCAATTTGAGGTTTCCATCGTGAAAGTCAAAAACCTAGCAGGCATGTCATCCTGTGACCAATAAAAATGATGAGAGGACTCGCTGTTTCCTGTGTGATCTCTTGTTTTTTCCCCACTAATGCTAACAATTCACACTGAATTAACTGCCGAGTAGAAAGCTGCAGTTGATTAGAATGCTCGAGACCCTGGAGCAGTTTTTCTAGCAATTAACAACTGAACATGCAACGCTATCTAAATTCTAATTACTACTTCATGAAAGGGACTATGCAAAATTGTTGCTGATAAAAAAAAGAAGAAGCTACAAATGTGTACTAAGCGTCTGGTGTCACCATCCACCACCCCCAAGCAGTGCATTAATGGATCATGAGGTACCTATGCCAAACCTGCCTCTGAGGAAAGGGTAGGCTGTCATAACATGGGGCTTTTGGAATGCTTGAATGTGAACCAGAAAGCATATACTGGGGCAATGAAAGAGGAAGCAAGACTTGTATCTAAACCAGAACACCAGTAAATCCTGAATGCAGAAAAGTACAACAGAGTGTGCAATATATATATGGACACACACATAGAGTGTGTGTGTGTACACATTCTGACTGATCATTTAGTACAGTTGGAGAGCCAGTAGCATCTGCTATACTTAAAGGAACAATTTAAGTCACATTTCTGTCTGGTTTGTTTAAAAAAATACCTAGAGTTACTTGTTACATCAAAGTTCACTATAACTGAAACATTAGAGAAGAAAACAATTTTTTCTCTCTCCATTTTTTCAGTTTAATTTATGTATTTCACAGCCCTTCCTGTGCTAGCCATACTCCCAGTGATGGCAGTGGCAAAACTCAGTTCTCTCAGTAGGAGCAGGGGAAGGCCAATAAATAGTTTTATGAAGTTGATTGGAGTCACTGAGCCTTGGTTGACACTGGCCAGGTTCAGGAGGCCTCAAGCTAAAAACAGCACAGAATTAAGACTTGATCCACTGACAGAGCTAATGGAGCTTGTTATCTCAACAAGCTCTAGACCATTTGGGCAGCAGCCTTAGATGGTATAAACTGACAACTTGGCCCAATGGAGCTGTGTTGATTTACACAAGCTGAGAATCAGACCCTTTGCATTTAATTTTTTTTTTTTTTTTTTTTTGCTAAATGCAAATTTAAGATTGCATAGTAACAATCAGCAAATCAGGGAATGCAAGGGAACAATGTTAACTAAACCATGTTGCGTGTTACAGTATTTTCTAGTCTTGTTTTTCCAGTTAAATGTGTACTTTAGTGTGGATATAACAAAGTGTAAATGTACTGTGTACCATCAAAGGCACATAGGATGTGAAGTGCAGCCAAGTAAACATTTCTGTCCAATCCCCAACTTTTGCATTTCTTGACTGAATTTAACTATTGTATTTAAGAGTGGGTTTTTGAAGTGGTTTTGCATTTGTAATAATTAGCACAAAATTATTACATTTATATTCATGGAAAAGAATAATTTAGATGAGTAATTTATTCTGCCTCTTCATGAATGAGGCTAAAGTCATTGCCAATCTGTCTATGTGCATTACCCACCCGTCCTTCAGAACGGAAACCACCGGTGATCTGGTTGGGAATGTCCTCTGGATTTTAAATCTGCCTTTACAACTCCAAGAAATGAAAAGTTACACACACTCCCTTTGTGGGGCCATACAGATGTGTGCTCCGTCTTCTGTAGCAGATAATGAACACTAGCAGGTCACTGCATGTAAGATACATTATTTCCCCCAAAAATTACATTAAAAGAACATTAAGGTTGCAAAGCCAACCACTCAAAATTTAGGAAACCAGAATTAAGGCTGCCTGTGCAACCTTATTTTTGCCCCCCTTATGTGTATGTATTATGATACAATCTTTAATTACAAGATAACATGCTATTTTTGTAGACTCTTGCCTTATTCAGGGCACAGGAGGGATGATGCTCTGTGAATGAATTAGGAGTTGTGTTGTGAAGGAGGCTGTTGTCTGTAGGACCTCTGCCTCATTTGAGCAGAGCAGGCAATAAATTGTAGGATAAGTAAGCTGCAACCTTTAGCTGATCCCTGGCCATCCAAATGGCCTATGGGGGCCAGAGTCAGGCAGGACAGAGAGAGAACATCATCGAAACTGCTCTATTTTGCTCCGGGGCCTGGAATGTCCAGGCAATGCAAAAGTGTGTAGAACCATCCTTGTAATCCCCAAAATGTACAGAAATAAAATTTGTTTTCAAAAGATAGAAATATCTGACATTGCCTTTAATAGAGGAAAAATGAGAGTTGTACATGTTGTACTATTCTCTCATGTAATAGCAGCACATGCATTTGATAATTATGATTAAGACTAAGATTTAGTCATGGGTAGTTTTAGTAAAGGTCATGGACAGGTCACAGGCAATAAACAGAAATTCACAGTCATGCCCTGTCCATGACTTTTACTATAAATACCCATTACTAAATCTCTGCTACTGGGCTCCACTTCTCCAGTGGTAGGAGCTGACTGCCTCTGGTGGCCCGCTGCTCTGAGGCCCCTGGGGACTGCTCTCCTGGCGGCCTCTGGGGCCACAGCCCCAGCCACTCCTGGGGCCACTGCTGCTTGGGCGATCGCCAGGGCCGCCCCGGGACTGATGCTCAGCCGATCCCCGGGGCTGCTGCTCCGGCTGCCCCCAGGACTGCTGGTGCTTGAGCGCTTCCCAGGGTCAGCCGCATCGGCCACTGCAGCTGCAGAAGTCATGGAGGTCACGGAAAGTCATGGAATCCGTGACTTCCATGACCTCTGTGACAGAATCGCAGCCTTAATCATGATTACAATAATTTTTACATAGGATTCTACTCTTCAGTATAATGGTATACATTTTCCATTGATTTCTCAATGTATTTGCAATGCAGCTCCACATCTGAGATTATGAAGTACTCCTGGTAACTGTATCTGCTAACAGAGTTATCCTGTTTTTGTATTATGTTAGTCAATTACATATTTATCTATTTGGCTGGTACATATTGCATTTAGACCATCACTGCTCAAAACTGAACAGTAATAAAGATGGAATTTAAATGGAGTCTTTTCAAAATAGATTTAAAAAAATCATGAGAATTTTGTGATTACCCAGCGCTGAAAAAACCTCAAGATGAGCAATATCCATTTTGGACAGCAAAAATAACCAAGTTTCAGCTCCAAATAGGTTAATAAAAATTGTAGTAGCACATGTTTAAAATAAAAGCAGCAATAGAGCATTTGAAAACTAAAAATATAAACACAAGCTCTCACCTTTTGTAAGGTCACAGTGTACTGTTCCCATATCAGCTCTTCCATGCCTGGGGCCTGTTACACAAAAACCAAAAAGCAATTAACCAACAAGCAACATAAACAAATAACTACCCCAAAATAAAATCTGGAAGATCCCATTTCAGAAACTGTTGAAACAACTATTTAAAGTATTCGATGGAGTCGGCTACAGAACACATTTGTTTTTATGTCAAATGACAATGAGACTAACCGAAAAAAATTGGAGAGGGAATATATATTAGAATTTAGCAGGTTATATGTATACGCACACCTTTGTGTGTGCACCCACATATGTACGTAGATATGCTCTGGTAACACCCTGTGCAGTGAACATTCCCTGGGCCAATACAAAATAAATCATAACATATTGCCATTGACTGTCTGGATTCTGAAAATGGACAAAATATTGCAAATTCAAGACCAAGGGCAATTTAGAATACATTTCTAATCAATGACTGGAAATCTGACTTTTGAATTCTACATCATAGTTAATAAGATTCCAGTGCTAAAAAGAGTATTTACAAGTGGAAACCTCCTCCCCGAGATGCTAATTTAGCAGCAATAAGTTTTAGGAAGGAAAAAAAAGCATCCAAACCTAAGAAAATAATATCAGCACTGATATTAGAGAGCCAGGGTAACAGACTTGGCTGGATTACATCTCCCAAGATGCACCACGGTTTCTCTTCTTGCTGAGACACTGTGGTGCATCACAGGAATCACATGGCTGCTGCGCACAGAGGAGATGTAATCTCTGGCCCACAGAGAAAAATGGGAGCATGAGGTACCCGAACTACCAATCCCATGGGGCACCAAAGTAGCATTTCTGAATGGAAATTTTCTGTTTATGAACAAAAAAGATGTTCACTTCAGTTTTTCGACTGAAAGTAGACATGTTTCATGGAAAGCAAAAATTGCCAAAAATTCCGTTACACAAAAACCCAGTTTCCATAGAAAAGTAATTTAAATAGAACTTTGACCAGCTTTGACAACTAATCAAGAAAGGGGTAGAAGTGAAGGAAGGAAGTATGTAAGTGTAGTGTTTTTAGAAGTACAGTTAACTACAATAAGTCCACCTCTATTAGACTATCCCCATCTTAATTAACTATTATGAAGTGTACCCAATGTTTCCAGTACAGTTGTTTTATTGCAGAAGCAGACCATTAAGCACACAGTTGTTTCTGTTCTCTTGGATGGTCAAAGACCCCATGAAGTGTCACAGGAAAAGAATCCACACAGCCGATTCTGGGTACACCTGAAGGGGACTAGGTGGTCATGTTTTGCTATGGGGTCACTGGATGAAAAAAAGCTTATAGTTCTTGCTCCAAACATTATTTAAGGAACACCCAAACCGTTTATAATACAGAAATACGTCTTAGCATACACCAATACAAGCATATTTATATTAATAATGCACACATACGGTCTTTCTAAAAATGGATAGATAATCTAAGTTTTCTAATTCAGAAGTTAGCAGATCCTACAAATCAAGATCTAGAACTACAGCTAGCAAAAATACACTATAAAAGTCAAAGCAGAGGTTTTATGGAGGAGAGGAGCTAGTGTTAAAACCTATAGAAATAAATATTTTTAAATATCTGTCTTCTCATCTAGCCTAGTGACAGAGAGACAATGACAGAGACAGACAGAGAAAGAGTTACGGAGTTAAAATCATTACTATTAAAGCATTCTTGCCCTGGGTTGAGTAGATTAACCTACTTGCTGAAACACATGGTCAGTGAAATCATCATCTGTCAAATAATGGTGCTTCCAGCTATTCCCATGTCACCAGCTGGCCAGTATAACTAGACAGTTAAATTGCTGCTGCTAGTTGCTACTTTGTTGTCTCTCTCTACCTTATTCCAACATGTGGGAGAATCCTGCACAGAAAAAAATCCTTGGGAACTGATGCATCTTCTGTTCTGCTTTTCTAGTTTGTTTGTTTTTTAAACTATATGCAGTACTGGCTTGGGGGCAGGGGATCTCAGCTGTCATTTCCATCTAGCAGTTTCCCTTTAAGAGAGCCTTAAAAATGTGAGCAGATATCAAGTGATCTCTAAAATTGGAAGGACAAGCAGCTGGGCTCAATTATTGCAGCAACAGGCTGTGGGCTAGTAGTGGTAAAACTTGAAAGGACTCCTCCCACCAAACAGCCAAAACATTTTTAGTGTAAAATGAGTCAGTCAGTTAAATTTGGTGTATATTTCAAATAGTCTTACTGTCCCTCCCCTTAAGATTCTGAGGCCGGCCCTGGGCATATTAAGGTGTCCAGTGATGGAGAGGAAAGGAATAGACTGGCCAAGGTCAGAGGAAGCAAGCTGACCTAGGGAGAAGGCTCCATGTTTCAGAACACAAGCCATGCATGACAACACAAGGACTCTGAACGAACCCTGAGCCAAGCCCAAATAATGCTCTAGAGTGATGAGGAAACAGAGGCAGGGAAATGCATGTAGGGTTTATTAATTATTATTATTATTATTATTATTATTATTTTTACAGATCTGTACATGTCTCGTGATTTAATAAAGAGCAATTCTGTGTTAGATTTCTGGGCAAAGAGTCTGTGTTATATGCTATACCCACCATGTGGCCCCTTGAAGATGTAAACTTTGGGAAGAGTTCTGGGAGAAGGTGTGTAAAGATACAGCAGTATTCGGAGAGGCTAGCACTGGTTCCGGGGTCTGGGCTGGGGACCACATGGTCACAGCTGTCAGGACAGGGTGCTAGACAGGATCTGCACCTTGAGACTGTGGCTGGACTTTGTTCAGACTCTGGAGGCTGAACACCCAGCAGCGAGGTCTCTTCACAGCTATCTCGTAGACTGCCAGCAGTGGAGCCTGAACAGATCAGTGTCAGTGGAAAAGGACAGTCATGCTTAGAAATATGTTAGTTGGTCATGAAAAGAAATTAAGGGGAAAAAAAATCTATTACCAAGATAGGAGAACTAGTTCTTGACATACTGATAAAATTACACAAGCTATATAATGCACAGTATTGAATGGTCATCCTTGGTAGTCTATCAGGCCCTGAAAACATCTGCACTGCCCTAAATCTCCAACTAATAATCTCTTGAACATTATAAAATGTACTGCTGCTTGCCAGTGCTGAGATGCTAACCAATACTGACAGATTAATGGAAAGAAGGAGAATGAGAGGGAGGGAAAGACTACGAATGTTATAAATCACCAGCTGAGGAGCTCTGACTGTATCAGAACTAGGATTTAACCCTCTATCACAGGGGTCAGCAACCTTTCAGAAGTGGTGTGCCGAGTCTTCATTTATTCACTCTAATTTAAGGTTTCGCGTGCCAGTCATACATTTTAACGTTTTAAGAAGGTCTCTTTCTAGAAGTCTATAATATATATAACTAAACTATTGTTATATGTAAAGTAAATAAGGTTTTTAAAATGTTTAAGAAGCTTCATTTAAAATTAAATAAAATGCAGAGCCCCCGGACTGGTGGCCAGGATCTGGGCAGTGTGAGTGCCACTGAAAATCTGCTCGCGTGCCGCCTTTGGCACCCGTGCCATAGGTTGCCTACCCCTGCTCTATCACAAGAACAAAATTCCTGCTTTGTTAGAAATCATTATCCTAAGGCAGAAGATGGGTCTCTACTCTAAATGCACCAAGAGAAAAGCACCTTTTATCCTTGAGACTTTCTCATGTCATTGGCTAGCTGTAAAGAAATGCAAAGGGAGACTATGTTTTTTGTATCTTTTAAAAAGTCTCACAGGAACACAATGGTTACTGCATTACCCACACACAGAGAAAGAACTGCTGACAAGAGGCACAAGCAAAAGAAATGAATCCTATGTATTTATCAAATTACTAAAAGTAACTATTTGGCGAGTTTACTCAGGTTTTCCTTCAACTAGAACTGTTGGGTTTTTTTTGTATATAAATGAAACTTACTGTAATTAGCCAATATGAGTTCAGTAGTAACTTCAGCCAGTACAATACTTCTAATTAAAATATCACTATCAGGATTTGTTTAAATATTCATGGTGCTCAGATACCAAGGTGACAGATGCCTTATTAATAGCTAGAATAGATGGATCAGTAGCCCCTTGATTACAAAACTATTCAGCGGTGGAAATTTTGAATGACAGTTTGCTAGAATAAAAATTACACTGTGTACAGAACACACAACCCTCGCGGATAATTATCACATATTTATACAATTTCTTATTACTGAGTTACCAAACACACACTTTAAAAAATAAAAAATAAATACCTGGGTGTGAAAGTGTAGGGAGGGCTTATAACAAGCTATAATGTAAAAACAACTCACGTGCCCTTTTAAAATCCTCAACTTTTTCACTGCATGTGCCCACATTCTCTGTAGAGCTTGAGCTGTCTTCATTGTTGCAGGGTATATAATCTGTTAGGGGACTCTGTGCATCCCAGTCTTTTCATCAGTTTCCACCACTCAACAATGTTATGTAATTCTAATACAATAGTGGCCTACATACTCAACAAATCCTGCTGTCATTTCACACAGTCACACATCAAAACACAAAGAAGAAAAATCTAATACCTAAACAAACTCCACTTATGAGACAAAAACCAATCTTAATTAAAGACAATTTTAAATGTCTCAACACAGATTAATATGCAGGAGGTTTTTTTAATTCTAAATAGTTAATACTTATGATATTTTTTCCTATAAGTATACCTGAAACTTTAAGACAAGGTGTACATTTGTGGTTATTTAAAAAGTCAGACTATGCTAGTAGTATTTTATATTAATAACCTATGACTAGAATAAATCTTAAAGCTGAACTCTAGGCCCCAATCCTTCAAATTCTTATGGACCTGACTAACTTTATACAAGTGAGTAATTCCACTGAACTCATGTATGTAAAATTATTCATATGCATAAATACTTGCAGGATTAGGGCCTTATTTAGCTCCAGCAAACAAAAAGTGAGCAAAATATTGAAAAGGAACATCATGCCAATCTCTCAGTGACTGCCAATACTGTTTAGTTTTTTTCCTGAATACTAAATCAATAAAAACAGGACAAAAAGTTAGCAATA